TACTATAATATTATTGGATACTGTGTGACTTCATAGTACAACTGCAGCTGCTTGGGCATGCCCGGAGTATGACTGGCGAATACAGACTTGGACTGATAACGTCAGAGCATCCATGCGTAAAAGGTGTTTGTAGCTGGACCCGGGCCAATGAGAAGTCAGCAATCATAAACCTTATCTGTCAATGAGCCATGTCGTAAAATGTTCTGTGGGTTGTTATTTTACTTTTATTTTATTTTATTACTTGACAGTTGGAGAATCCATTATAAATACAGATACTATTTATCTTTAAATATTCTTTCTCAAAGGTATTTTTTGTCGGCACGTCACATCTTCGTCAACTCTGCATCAAATCCTACGATTGATCTCTCATTCTGAAGAACTTTTTCTCCTTCAGGTGGGAAAATAAAGTCAGACCCCAGAAATTCAGAAAAAAAATGTAGAAAAAGACACTTTATTTGAGAAAATTTGTTTTGTTGATTATACCCATGATTTTTTTTTGAAATATTACTAAATTTCCTACAGTATAAAAAATAATCTAAATTGGACCATAATTAGCTGATTCTGATACGGATTATTGTAATTCGTAAACATTTTGGTTTAAAATATGAAACATAAAGTTTTATAATTTTTTTTTGATCAGTTACAATTACCGAAAAAATAGGAAATGATTCATCTTATGATACGTTGATTAATTTATTTTCTTATCATTTTGTCATTTATTCAATGGCCAAAATTTTTTTATGAATCATTCGCACAAGTCGTAGCTATAATAATATATTCAATAAAGTATAATATAATTAATTAATATAAAATGCGATTGAAAATACGAAATTCCATTCGTGATTTTATCTTTTTATGAACTGAAAATAGATATTTTTTTTTCATACTGAATAAATCACAGAAGCTGAAATAAATTATGGATCTTTCACTGTCATGGATCATAATAATTTTATATTTTTTCATAAAAAAAAGCAACATTTTTAAAAGTAAACCAAGACATACCAATGCAGTCGTAAGAGAATTGTGCAAATTTTAATCAATCAAATTTGATCTAGGTATAATCTGATACAAATATATTTTATAGTTTATTATCATTATTTTCTAAGATCTGTATCTTTCAGAGTTAAATTAGCTTCATTGTTGGTTTTCGAAATTTAATATCGATAATTTAACATTATTATTATTAAAAAAAAAATTATCAATATTTACATTAGTTGGATCTATTCAGTCTCATGGATCATTTTAGTTCTTACTCGTAATCTTATATTACAAAAAATAAAAATTTAATTAATTATATTAACAAACTTAAATTTTAGAATATAATGTGATTCAGTTTTTTAAAAAACAAAAATAATTTATTTTTCCTATGTTCATGCTATTCAAATTCAAAATCTCAACAATATCGTTTGCCTATTAACCTTCATCGCAATGCTGCTCATAGTACTCTTCAGTTGAGATGTCCGAGATACCGTCAAATGCAAACTGCAGGAAATAAACTGAGGAGGTGTCCCCTTTGGCATAAGGTATAGTCGTGTGTCTAATCCTTAGCCTAGTTAATATTACCTCATTTCTTTTTCAACGGTAGGTCCACTATATTTGGCACTATTGTGGATTCCACTAGTTTTAATTCAAATTCTCTTTAATCCATCTAAAAATACTGCCGCTTAACATACTTTTTATTTTTATTTGCATTTTACAAATGCGTCTTTACAGCAATTCCTTCTTTAAAAGTTTTTTTTTTGCAATGGTATCGGCATGCCTGTTCCGTTTAATAACTTGATTTTTAACGGCTGGCTTACTGTTTAATTTGAGACATCCTATTAGGTTGTTAGAGAATGGTTCCAGTAAGTATCGGTATTCACTTAATATCGCTTGATTAAGGTAGTTGCGATATTTTTTAAGGTCTGATATTCTTTATAGATTTCGATATAGGTCTTAGGTATTGATTGATATTAGTATAATGTCGATATCGGCGATATCAATATGAAATGTTTGAGATAGGTACTTAAGAAATATACCGTTTGCTATGTATTGAACATAGCAAAAATTTTATAAAAAATATTATGAGATGTCTAAAAGTTGAATGCAATCGACTTCTGGCATCAAAAACAGCGTCAAGGAAGAGAGAACATGTAGATAAGGACTGACCTGTACCTGGACCCTGGCGAAGGCTCTGAGTAAAAACTAGTAACGGGCTAAGTAACTGGTTCCTTTTAGGGTGTTATCAGTTATTGTGAAGTAATAGGGTGAAGTTAAGAAGTAATGAAAACCATACTTGCCCCTCCCTGAATATTTGTTGCGTATATTGCGTATATAATACGCTGAGAAGTAAGAAAAGAGAGCTTATGTTGGTTTCTGGCCTTGAGGATAAGGCTTATGTTTTCTTCCGGCTTGAGGACGAAACCTTGGTCCTATATAGACTACACAGACACAGATGGACGTCTTAGAGGAGTTTTTGGACCTGAACTTGACGAGATGACCTCAACTTAGCAGATGCAGCGATGAAACCTATTAACTACACCACTTTACATACCATAATAGCTAAGTTGTAATTCCCAATCCTAATGTTGTAATATTTCATGGCAATAATACTCAAAACAGCCCATCTGAAATCATACCTTCACCGTTAATGATCAAATGCTTTGAATTTTCTTTTTTAGAATATTGTAAATAGTATTTGTACATTAAGATTTCCATTTAATTTATGTATATTCTTTATTAAACTTTTAAAAATTTAGAAATAAATTAAGTTTTTTAGTAAAAGCTATTTTAATTCTGTCACCTATTTATATCATGATGATCACAGGTAATGTTGGTAATTAGAAAGCGTGATAAACACAAACCAGCCTTTGAGAAAAGAAATCCAATTAATTAATCCTGAACCAATCAATGTATTATAGATCCAAATTTATTTTACTAATTTTTTATTATTAATTTTTATTAAACATTTCTGGTAATTATCATCAATAATTATCCAGTGGCATCCCGATAAAATTAAACGCCCCAAAACATAGCACGTTATTAGCAAAAAATCACTCCGTGAATAAATAATGAATATCATTATCATTTGTTGAATTTTCTCTTTGTGAAATCAGAAGTATTAGTATAAACTTCTACTTTTGATAATCTCAAATAGACTTAGCTTACTGTATAAGTAAAAATAAATATGTTAAAATCATACATTTATTATACTTAAATACTGGATTTCACTTGAACCAAATCGTAAAAATTAGGTATCATATGATATTGGGCGATATCGAAAGAAAAATATCGATCTATATCGATATAAATATTATCGCAACATCCCTACACACGAGAAATGTTAACTGTACTCGTATATAAATCATTAAGGTTCATCTTAGAAACCCTCGTTTGCCTCTTCACACCATTTTTCTAGAATTTTCTTTTGCTTAGAACATCGTTCATGGATTTTTTCCTTAAATACCATTCGATAAAATTTTAATTCGAATATAGAAGTATTTATGTATTGGTTAACCTAATGTATTATTTACTTCATCAATAAAGTTTCTTGTTGATAATGACGAAGTTTATAAGTACCATGCAGAAATCTCGAGACAACCTTTAATTGCCTATTGTGATGGCTTCTCAACTTTATCAATGATAATATCTTGATTCATTTTTATGAACACTGCAAGAGGCTGTCATTCATAACTGGTCAATACTTTGATTATCTGGTCTATATTATTATATTAGATCTATTAGTTGATATAAATCATTTAAATAGAAAAATATTGCAAGCTTGTAATTTTGTAAAGCGTATCTTGATAAAAGGGCGGTGGTTCAAAGGATTTGGACTGCAAACAATGACTAGAATTTTCAAATTCAAAAACGTATTTACTCTCGTTTGAACCCCTCTCGATGTAGAACATAATGGTATTTGCCTTCTGTCAAGAGGTATTTTTTCTTTTCTCAGATTTAACTCCAGCTCTGACATTATAAATAGAACAGTTTAAACATTAAAATATTTTAGGACCTTTGGTCTATATTGAGTTATGGGAGTCCGAGTAGGTCATTAATCATTTCAAGCGGCAAATGAATTTCTTCTCAAGGATTTTTTCTCTCTAAGAAAATGCTATTAATTATTATTATTTACTATAGCCCTAGTACCAATGTCCTTCAGTGTGGCAGACTGTATTAATACTCAATAAAACAATAAAACAAATAATATTATTATTACAAATAATTATTAATATTATTAAATAAATATGGAAACAAGGTCATCTCGTGTTTTAATTTATTTTTATTAATAAAAATTTATATGTTGTTCTAAGCGTGATTTTTTCTACAGCTAGACCCCGGGAAAATAATGTATTTAGAACTTTTTTTTTTTTTTTTTTATTCAAATGTAAACAGATTCATTCATGGTTTTTTAATTGCACTTTATAATGCTTCTGAGAACACACGTTACAATGATATTAAGTGGACGGGATGGCCGAGCACATTTGGGTGGATTTCGGTCTAAAAAATTACCTTATGTTATAGTTTAAAATTTAGATTTTGTCCCAGAGTGCCCAGTTCTGAAAATCCTGGGTTCGATTCCCACCTGGGTAGGTTTTCATTTCTCGAGGCCGCGGTAAGTACATGGCGGGAACCTTCAGGTTGTCGCAAGGAGATTGGCCAAATAAATCATGAAGTCCATTTGCCAAATTAGTCCCCCCCCCCATCAGTACCATATTGATGCTATGATACAGAGCTATTAAAAAAAAAAGTTTATAGTCACTGAATTCATTTCCTTCATTTGTCCTTTTATATAATAAAGTATAAATATATATTTTTTACCATTTGGAATTTTATTAACATGGTCTAAAAACGACCCTTTTCATTTTAAATCTAGGATCAAAATGTTTTCTTTCATTACATTACTACTTTATAGTGATTTAAATAAAACTGTGACTTGATTTGTGATATCTAGAAATTAAAAAAACATGTATAATTTTTTTTAATTTACGTAATATAGAATTTTTATCAATTTTTTTTAGTAACGGGTAAAGTAAACTTCGATGGTTTCTGCCAAATCGCAGGACATTTCCTCGAAGAAGAGGATGCGGAAGCTATGCAGGAAGAGCTGAAAGAAGCTTTCAGGCTGTACGATAGGGAAGGTAAGCTAAGCATATTTTTAGTTATTTTCTTGTCCCAATAATTGTAAAAAAAAATAAAAACAGTTAAACCATATCTATTTAATGTTTAGTAATAAGTAATAGTTGATGTTTAAAGGTTTGCCATAAGTATGTAATAGTTGAAAATAAAAGTGATGTTTAGACGCATAGAGGAGGTGTTCTGGATAGAACAAATTAAATGGTTCAAAATGGAAATATTAGGAATAACATATCTCAATGAGCTACAGAATAAATGGTCGCTAAAAGAATGACTGAGTAGTTCTGAAAAAAAAAACGGTACACAAGCAGAATCTAAACGGTACATGGATGAATCTAAAGATACAATCCATCTATATTTCTTTTTATCCTCATATTTATCTCAGAATGCAGTCCACTGTACGCGAGGTAGTATCGAAATAAGTTCGAATAATGCAGAAGACGAAGTTTTGTATTATGTTTAGAGGCAAAAAATATTTTAGAGACTCCTAGATCAGCGATCGGTTCCATTGCCTTGGGCTTTTATTAACGATAGTTCCCTCTCCTCCACTCTTCTAATTTTTTTAGCTATCTATTTTTCCACAGCCCAAACTTCATCAACTCGTCAATGCATTGATATTTTTTTATGGAACGTACCCGAAATTTCCAAAGGCTGGAAGGTTATAAATTGAGTACTATAAGGGACAAATAAAGGGAGTCGTATTTTACAAACGTTACCTGTTGTTTTCAATAACAGGAACGTGAGTCCGGGGGTCAAGGAGCGAAGGGAGGTAGCACCTTCTTCAGGATTGATCTGCAGATTGGTCCTCCATCTGCACCTGAGGAATAACTGAGAGGCCTGTGAACCTTGCTGAGGATGTCTTAATGACACTAAAAACCCATTGCTGTCCGCACGTGGTGTAGTATCACATCCTAGCCGAGGTGACCCTGCATTAACAGAACATGACGGATCTATACTGGTAGGTCGATAAATATCCTTGGTGTGAGGCAGCAGTAGTACTGGCATGGAGCCGAACACAGTCTACTACCAGATTTGCAACACCGTTGCAGGAAAGCGAGAGGTATACAAGAACGTCAACCTCCATATATTTAAATCTATGTACCTGCAAATACTTCTATTCGGAGCTGAAAGCTGGATATTGCTAGAAAGGCAAGAGAACAGAGTCACCATTGCTGAAATATCTGCGAAGAACAGTCGGTAAGACTAGGAGGGATCGGTTTCGTAACGAAAGTATGCGCCAGGAGCTGGGGTCGCCTGATTGATGGAGGTTTTGTAAATCCACCAATTGAAATGGTTTGACCATGTGATCAGGATGGAGAAACATAGGGGAATAAATTATATTGAAATATGTAATGAATAAAGTATATAGATACAGTGATAACAACAAAAATCGAAATTTTTATGTTTAACAAAACAAGTAGGATTATCAGAAGATGAGATCGCAGACTAAACTGAAAATCAAAATCAGCCGCATCAGATAAATGTGCAGGCTCCTTTATTTGATTAGATCAGAGTAGTTAAAGGGAATCAATGAAAAATTAGCAGCAGTATTACGAGTGGGAGTGCGCATCGGAAGGTAATGGCATCAAGGATTGCAGAGGAAGGTATTTTAAATCCATGGTTTACGATACTTAAATTATTCTCTACCGCCTCATTTAGTAAATTTGATCAGGTTCAGAAAATAAATTTCTGCATTATGATTACTTTAGCAATTTACTATCCAACATTCCAATGCTTTGAAAATTCAAAGCACATTGCCTTTGAGTGTTAAAAAGACATTAAAAGGGATTTTATATTCCATTTCTTGTACATGGCACTGTTAATATCCTTCTTATTTTTTTCTTTTTGGTTCTTAAGTGCTTTTTAGTGTGGAGGGCCCAGTCTCAGTCAATCATTTCCATTCATCCCTCTGCTTTTTCATCTGGGAAATTTATTTTCCCTTTTGTATTAAATTCCCCTCTAAAGACTGAATATATGTGATATACCCACATGTCTTTTAACTATTGGATTAACTTCTATTAAACATTTTACTTTTCTGTTCTACTATAGTCTGTATGAAGCCTAATTTCTATTTTATTCAGGAACATTATTTTTGATTCCTATTTGATGACTTCATTCCTTATTTGGTGAGCCTATTTAATTCGCTTTTTTCCAATCATGTGGTTGATTTAGTGACTTCCTATGTGTGTTTAAAGGTTGGACCTCCTAATATTGTTTGGCGTGACAAAATAGTATAAATACAATAAAATATAGTATTAAAAAAGTAAAAGTATTGTATTAATATACAAAAATCTCTTTCTAGGTAATGGCTACATCACGACAGCTACGCTGCGGGAAATCTTAGCTGCCCTTGACGACAAGCTGACGTCTGACGATCTAGACGGAATCATCGCTGAAATCGATACGGATGGTTCCGGTACCGTTGACTTTGATGGTACTTCAATTATTTATTTAATCTACAATATCTGTAATAGTTTAAAATAACCAGCTGTGTTAAAAAAAATCTGATTTTATAAATGGTAAAAATTTTCGTTATCGATTTTTTGCTCATATAATCAAAAAGTATCCACCACAAATCAATATCTGTGGTCAAGCCAGGTATGTATAGTGATTCCTTCAAAATTCAATATCATTATTTTAATTTATTTGAAAATGGTTGCTATGTGTAAAAGGGATAAATACTACCCTAGAAGAAAACAACGTATCTAATACCATTTTCAAGTTAATCAACTCCAGTAATCGACTTTTTACTTAAGATTAATTAATTTTTGTGTGATTAACAGAGTGTTAAATTTAAAATATCTCTTTTTTTCGCCAGAAAAGCTATCAGTATTTTTTTTTTTTTTTATAACTTTAAATAATTTAAATGAATTTCGATTTATGAAAATATATTTTTAGTTCTTCCATGCCCTTGTCCTATACCATATACTAATCGCATCTATATTTTGAATCTGATTTCACACATTTTATAATCGTATCAAAGTATTATTTTTATTAGTCAACGAAACTTTTAGTTGCAGAGGTGTAACTTTAATATTACATAATTAGAAAATTACTCACTGGGAGATATGATGCCAATCTTTGCCAAAATAAATTCTATCATACTCATTCGTATGTATATAAATATTGGGTTGGCAAATAAGTCCTTTCGGTTTTTCTGTTTATTTTGATGTTACTATGATACACTGCTTATCTGATGAATTAATTCCTAAGGTAGATTGTTTATCCTGTTATGTAATATGTCAAAAACTATATCTGTTAATTCCTGTTGAAGTTAGCTTAGTATTGTGCTTTGCTATTGAACTGTGAATATGGAATAAAATATATCATTCATTATCGGCATATTTTGTAGTATTATTTTAAAAAAGTAAGCGTGCTGCAGAAGCTCATAGAAAAAATTGCAATGTTTATGACGATGATTCCTAACCGAACGCATCTGTCAAAATATTCTGCCAAATTTCATTCAAGAAATTTTGAGATCAATAATGCCCTCATGAAATTGAAACGAGCAATTCTAAGGCCATTGTTGATCAAAATCCCACCCAATCAGTGCGAGAGATTGCTATGGCCCTAAATGTTTGGCAAACCAGCGTAGAAAACCATTTGGACAAGCTCGGCTGTTTCCAGGCTTAATGTGTGGGTCCCTCACATGATTTTGTTTTCGAAAAAAAATGTTATAACTTCAAAACGACTTTAGCTATCTACTAGAAATTTAGCACTAAATTTCAAAATGACATCAACAGGACCTTCGTAAACAAACTACAAATGTAGATAAACATTAAAAACCTATAAGGAGCTTTTGTTTATTTATTTGTTATGTAGGCATTAAATAAAAAAAAAAAACGTTCATACGGCTTTGAAGAGTAATAATTCAGCTTTCAAACCAATATAGTAGCTTGGAATTTGGAGAACATCCTGAAGAGTTATGAATGATCGGAAGGGCGTTGTGTTGCATCAAGACGTCGCTAGGCCCCAAACTTCATTGGTCACTCTCAATAAATTATTGAGCCTTGGATGGCACCTTTTCCCCTCCTCTCTCTATTCACCAGACCTAGGTCCAAGTGACTACCACTTATTCCGGTCTCTGGAGAACTCCATGAATTGAAAGAATTCCAAAAGGAAGAGGACATCGAAAACCACTTGGGTTAGTTTTTTAACAATACACTCCAGGCATTCTATGAACATGGCATTATGCAGTTAATGGAAGGATGGGAAAAAGTCATATTAAATAATGGTCAGTATATTATATATTAAAGTAAATTTTATTTCTATAATACATTGAGTTTTATTTCACCCTGAAAACCCGAAAGGATATGCCAATCGATTATTTATTAAAGAATGTTTTGACATATATGGAAAAATGAAATATGTCGACTAAATTAGCATCATTATATATTTTTTCTATATAGGAAAAGATATAACTACTGTCATATCGTTACGAACAGAATATGTAAACAGTTTGGTCGGAGGCAGTTTGTGGCAGATTGCTACAATAGCTATGATGGATTTAAGGTTTTAAACCAGCCCCGTGCGGGTATAGAATACACTGGCTAGGGGAGAATTGATGATGCTTCCACACCCAATGCCTATCATCAATTACTGTCTCTATAAATAACAACTACAAAGAGAGTATTTACCTGCTTTCGGAAAAAAGTAGTTAATTGAATACAATAAAATAGGGCTCTATCGTAAGTTATTCCTCTGGTCATGATATAGTCCATTTTTATAAGTACTTTTAACTCATATTATTTTTGGATTTTCAAATCTATTCAAAACCTATCTTTTGAATCTTTCAGCCACATTTCAGCACCTTACTTTTATCTATAGAGAAAATTTGAGTGAAAATTCTATCAATATTTATTAATATTTCGTATTTTGAAATCTTAAATTGAAACCTATAGGTAAAAATTATACATATTCATATGAAATGTTAAGCATTGTGTAGCTAAAAACATTATCCTCAGTCATGGCATTTTACAAGTTTTGTGAAATTGATTAACTAACAACAATCAAACGGTTGTTTTGATGTTTTTGACTCAACACATCTAGGTCATCAGTGCCCGATCAATAAAATAATACTATTATTCAAATCTTTAGCTGGTAGGTTTAAAGAAATAAATGAACAAATAATATATTTTTTTTTTGTTAAATAGTATTTATAAAGGTTAATATTTGCTGTGCCGAATGGTAAGCGTCGGAGGGGTAGACCGAAGCGAAGGTGGGAAGATTGCATTAAAGCTGATCTGAAGGGACTGGGTTTGGACTGCGAACGGTGGAGGGAGGTGTGTAACAAGCGATTGGTGGTGTCGGCATCGAACCTTCGGGTTCGCTAAGCCTTATTATTATTATTATTATTATTATTAAATAGTATTTATAGGGATATATTTGAGATATCTGTCAGATTCAAGGACAATATTAATAGTGATATAGAGTAGCTCATTCATACTATGCACAATAAATAAAAATAATAAACAGCAATATAATAATACTAAAGCAAATGTATATAAACTAAAAGATACTATAAAAAAAACAAAATAAACTACTATAACAAAATAAATACTTAAATACACACATGATTTTATAACATAAATAATATCTAAAAAATAAAAATTGTTATTTATATAAAACAATATTAATAAAAAAAAGAACAAACATAATTAAATAAAACTAAGTAATATATAAAATTAGGGTTTAAATAATATATGATAATGGGCGTTTTTGTATGTCATAATAGCGCAAAATTACATTTCAGAAGGGTCTATTTTATTCTGTTAAATTTTTACAGAGACTGGTGGTTTTTCAAACCTGCTTTGTATTTGATAATGGTATTATTTTAAATTTATTTTAATTTAATGAATGAAATACAAAAGTAAATCAGGAAATAATGACTTTGAATAATTTCATACTATTCCAAGTTTATAAATATCATTTTTTTTTTCCTTGGAAGAGTTCGATGAATCATGAATTTCTAATATATTCAAATGGGATTAGGAATTACTTCGAATAAGTATATAGGATGAGGAAAGTTTCTAGATATTCATTCCCCTTTATCATTCTTGATGTCCTTCTCAATCCACGAGTTGAAATTTATTCAACCCTGCTTTCTTTTCAATCTGCTTTCAGTCCTCCTAATACAGTCACTGTTCTAGGAATTTTAACGTAGGTAAAAAATTTAATGTGAGACCCTTACGGGCGGTGTCTGATAGATTCCTGTCATACATTCTTGCAATCTTGTGTACTAATTTGTTAAATAAAGGTAGGTTGCGCTCAAAAAGGGCTCTCTTAAGTTGTTTACACACCTGTAAATAAAGCCAGGCGACCAAGGCGATCCCTGTTTGAATAATAATAAAAATTTAAATAATTAAAGCTATCGAAAAACAAAATAAACTAAATATACTCAATATTATTGTACATAGGGAGTTTAATAAAAGCGTAGCGATAATAGTGTTCATATATGTTTGTAGCGGTCTTTTCCTTTATAATCATAACCCACGTGGACTTCCATTTTCCTCCTTGCTAGTTTTTACACCTCTCTTTTCTACATCTAACTCACTCATACATCTGGATATCTTGGATATAATGTCATTTACTTCAGCGGAATAATGACAAAAAAACATATAAAATACTTTAAATTATAAAAATTTACTTGAGAAATAACATAGGTTCACCTAAACAAAACAATTAGAGTTTTTATGTAAGGAAATGTAAGAGACTGAAAATTAAATATATTTGTGTTAAATTAAATATATAGATATATTTGTGGGACATATTTGAAGATAAAACTTCGAAGAGGGTTGATATAATATTAGGTTAATTTCGTACTGTGAGTTCCTTCACCACCTTGATCCAACAAGCAGTCTGGACTGCATCCTCACCGCTCCCCACCAAAAACTCCCTTAAAAAGAATCCCTTGCCCCAAAACCTTACTGACCTTATTGAATCCAAACGCCAATCTAGGACCTTCTGGAAAAGAACCAGGCATCTTGAAGATCGGAAATTATACAATTACTATTCCAAACAGGTTAAAAAAGAACTGGCTTCCTTTAGATTCCAATCCTACAATTCCTTTCTTTCTTCCCTCTCTATAGATTACAACTCCCTCTGAAACGTGACCAAAAAAATCCTTAAATACCAATCTATATACCACTTCCTCCGACGAGATGATGGAACTTTTTAGACAAAAGACTAACATGGAACCCACATACCAGACTTAAAAGACAAGTACTTAACCGTCGATTTGGCCATTTATACTGACCACTTAACAGAAAATCTAAGCTCTCAATTGAAAACAAACTATTAATATACGAGACCATACTGAAACTCATCTGGACCAACGGACTTGAACTGTGGGGGACAACTAAATTTTCGAACACCAAACGCATCCAATCCTTTCAGTCTAAAGTCATCCGTATAATAGTCAATGCTCCTTATTATGTTACGAACAAAACCATACATCATGACCTTAACATCCCTTATGTCGTTGGAGTTATTCCCGATTATCAAATTTTCATCAGAACCTGATCCATCATACTGATCCATTAGCACAGTCCTTCTCCAGTTCCAGTCTTCCCTACAATCCTCCTAGAAGGTTGAAACGGCAGTGGCCTCGAGATCTTTTGTAAATACGTCAATGAAGTCCTGGCAATGGCCAGCATCTTCACTCAAGTCAGGAGCATATGTGGCTTTAGTAGGGCCCTCTTTTAGTCTCCACTGTATTCCCGTCCCAGTGATGCAGCTGAGAGTGAAGCGCTGGGAACTCTTGGAGTCTTGTCTTATCCTCCACACGTGGGGGAAAGGGCCATACTCGGAACTCTCTCGGCTGACTGTAGATATTGTAAATAAGAATGAATGTGTTTTTAATTTATTTTTATTTAATATAGCCTCTTATTTTCTTTTCTTTTCTTTTATTATAATTCTCTATTATTTTTGTTTTATTGTATATATGGTATGGTTGTGTTTCATGCATCCCAAATACTTAATGCCCTTAATTGAGGCAAAATATATTTTTTTCTGAATAAAAAATAAAATTTCGTAATGTAATTTATTGTTAAATTTTAATTAATTAAAAGTAAAAAAAAACTGGGCCTAATCAAACTTAGTTATGATACTGGTTGTTTACACCTTTTGTATATTATGAGATGAATCCGAAATATGGAAAAAAAAGATCTGAACTTGGAAGCATTAGCTCTTGATTCAGCAATATTTGAAATATTATTGCTTCTGTAAAAAGAATCAGTACTGCCCCTGAAACTGATATTGACCTCTAAAAGGAAAACATTTTCTGGAAATCTGATAGAGAAGGATTTTTTTTCGTTTATCTTATAAAAAATCTGATAATATATTCCTGGAACGGAGGGACCCCTTTAATTTAATTCCG